TCAGAACCAGGGATTGAACTCAGGTCTTTGTGCTTGCCAGGGAAGCGCTTATTCTATTGAGCCATCTCCCTGGTCCCAAACATAATTGTTTTTGAGGTAGGGTCTCACCATGTTTCTTAGGCTCTGAATTTAATGATTCAAGTAACCAGGGTTTTAAGTGTATGCCACCACACTTGGCTTGATACATTTTCTGGCATGATAACAATTATCTCCCACTTCTAGATTGCTCTAAAGTTCTGGCCTCTGACTTCGCAAATTTTTCTGTCCTTTCTTATCCCCTAGGCTACATTCTTTAGGAATTCATGGTTAGAGAAAGGAGAGGAGGAAGGAAACTGGAAAAATAAAATGGACAGGGCCAGACCACAGTGTGGGAAAGGAAAATTGAAATGAGCGGAAACCGCTCAGGGACATCCAGTGTGGACAAAATGAGGGTGTGGAGGCTGAAAGAGGGTAGAATAGAGTTTGACATGGATTAGAGGCCTGCCAAAGGCAGTCCCAGCTTGCCTCAGGCTGACCCTTGTACCTGACACTTCCATATAACCGTCATCATTGAGGCGGCAGGCTTCAGTCAAGGTGAGAAACAGGCAGCCAACAGGATCCAGAGGGTGGCCCACCCAGCCCTCCAGGTTTGTGATGGTCGTAGTTCCTCTCTGCAACAGTTCTGGAAATAGTAGGTTCAAAGTTTTAGACAGTGAGAGAAACACATTGCTTTTTCTCCTTGCTTGAGTCTCCTTATCAGGTCTCAATTAAGGCTTTGAAAAGAGAGTCAAGGAAAAGTTTCTCTTTTTGTTTTGCCTTGGGTTGATAGGAAAGATCGCGAGCTTACCTGACAGCTGTAAGCTTAAGTGGTCTATTTAGGCAGCCTGCTCATACTACATATGTGGACACGCACTTGCCAGCTTACAAGGGTTTTTAGTGGGCCCTTCAATCTGCACCAAGAAGGCAGATAGGTATCACTGTTTCCAGTTTACTGATGGGAAAACAGATTCTTGAGGTGGAATTACTTGGGATTTCCTAGCCGCTGACACACCATGATATTTAATGAAAATTAAATTTTGAAGTTTTTATGCCCTGAAGATCTTCATCAGTCTTAGGTCTAAAGAGTTAGATGACTCCTCATTACTCTACCTTTCTTCTGATGCTTGTAGATTTCCAGCTGCCTCTGCTGCTGCAATCGCAGAGTATTAATAATGGCGACTGTGAGTCTGAGGGCCTCTTTTGGATAACCATGAGAACGCAGGGCATCAACCCGAGCACAAGCTGTAGGCACATGCTCTACCAGATAAGAAGAAAATATGGTGGAGTTAAAATTTCAAATAAGGAAAATTCATGCTTTAAAATGGAAGTTTATGTTTAATCCAGTATTTATTTGTTTGCTCATTTTTGAGACAGGATCTTATTATGTAGTCCAGGCTAGCCTTGACCTTGCTGTGTAGCCCTGGATGGCCTCAAACTCATGTCATTCCTCCTGCTTCAGCCTCCCAGGTGCTGAGATTACAGATGTGTGTCACTGTGCCCAGGTGATATCTATTTTATATCAGGTTGAATAAGTCACCTTGAAAGAACCAAGCTGCAGCCTCAGTGTGACAGTACACTGTAGAAAGGCACATACAATTAGGATAACAAAATGTAACACCTTGTGAACATGTATTATGGGAACCCAGTAGAGATAACAATTAACTGCCCAAAGGGAAAAAGCTCCATTCTTTTAGCAACCTTTTATTTCCTAAAGGCCCATTCTATGCTATTCAAAGAAAGAAAGCAGAAATATAAGAAAGAAATAGCCATTGTCATCAAAGAGCTCACAAGTAATACAGAAAGATAGTTATAAAACAGCTAACAAAGAATTAAAATGAGACAAGTCAATACACAGTGAAAATAATATTTGAGCTGTGCCTTGAAGGACAAGTAAGATTATGAATAGGTAAACAAACAGGAAAAGTCTTCCTGGCAAAGGGATCGTATAAATAAAGGCATATAAGGAAAAGCATAAAAAACATTTACAAAAAAAAAAGCATTTACATAATATCTACAAAATATAGCAAATAGTTTTGGATACTAAGAATTATGACTGGAATAGCCTGAAAAGATAGAGTCTGGAATGTGAAGAGGCTTGAACACCATTCTAAGGCATTATATCTATCAGGATAACGGTAGACTGCTAAGGGCTTATAAATAGGTGAGTGATTATAACAGGCTTTATAGTTTATTTCTTTTAAACCTAACATTAAAAATCGAAGACAACTAAATAATTGCAGAAGATTTGAAAACATGTAAATATACTAATTCCTCACAAGGAATATAGTATCTATTACATATACTGATAAAAAGATTTGAAAACATAGGTAAGTATAAAACAAAAATCAGAGATAACTTCTAGTTTCATGTACATTTATCAAAATTTCTTATTTTTACTAAAAATGCAACACTATTATTTTGCACACTTTTTTCAAGTAATAGCACATAGTAGATATCTTTCCGTGGCAGGTATTTTTCTGATTCTCCCAGTCCCCAGCCTGCTTGCGCATGGAAGCATACTGTCTGCAGGGTACTCAGCTTAGTACCGAAGGAGATAAGATAGGACAATGAATTTTGTAGGTTCCAGGACATCTGGGGACATCTGAAAACACCTGAGAGTTTACACTGGACACTTCAAGACTCTGACCACTGAGATGCAAGACTGACAGAGAACTTTAACCAAAGATGTTTATTGGGATCTTCCCGCCTTACGTCTCCTGCCTTCTCTCCATCCTTATAAAAGGCACACATTTCTCTTGTTCACTGCTGATGTCCTTATCATGCTCTCTGCCTGCACCCAGGAACAATAAATTTTAGGCCATGTTGCTTTTATACAAGCCTGGTGGTTTCTGCTGGTTATCCCCTCCCCTGTATTTTATAATTAAATGTATTTCATAATATGTATGTTTCTATAACATTAAAATGATTGCATATCATTCCACTGAGTATGTGCTCATTTTCTGAGTTAATCAATTCCATATTGTTGAACATTAGATGGTTTCCAATTTTCCCATCTGTAAATTATTTATATCTATGCTCTAATGAATCTCTTAGCTTTATTCAATTCTAAGTTAATTAAAGCTCAGGATAAATTCTAAGACACAGAGTTCCTTGATTAAGTGGTATGTATGTTTTTTAAAGGTTTTTCATAGGTGTTGCTAAGATATCCTGCAGAAAAGCATTTATGTCCACCATTTATATGAGTACCCATCTTCATGAAGCTTCTCCCACTCTAGAAACAAATTATCTTTATTTTGAAAATCCCTGACCATTTGACAATCAAAAACAGAAAATCAGTATTGCTTTTACAGTTTTGTTTATTAATGAGGTACACATTTTTTAATATGCTTGTTAAATTTATGTTTTAGAGGTGCTAGATCAGAGAAAAGGTGATCAGAGGGAAATTCAAGTGGTGACACACAGTGAGTTTGGCCAAGATTTCTGAGACAGTCCCAAGGACATATGCAGATATAGAAAGAGTTATAGAAGTAGGGAACTGGGAGAAAAAAAAGAAAATCTACATGACTATTGTAAGACTTAGATTAGAAAATAAGTATTTTTAAAAAGAATATCTATTTTTAGATAGACATGGTGGTCCATGCTAGGACAGGAATATAAAATATTGGTTCAATCCAGGTAGTCCCAGTACCACATAATAAATTAAATAAGTAAGTAAACAAGTCTATTTTGGAATGGGTATTTTGTAATAAATTCAAGGATGGACTGATTGATAGTAAGCCAGAAAATTATTTCATAAGGTTTTAACTTGGGATAGAACAATTCTATTTGTTATGAAGCAAAATAAGAAGGTGGGAAAGAAATATGGAAGAAAGCCTGGTGACAGATTCAGACTCAGACTGTGTCCTAATTATTAGAACAGAATAATTTAAGTTTCAAACTTAGTGGTTGTTAAGCACAACACTCAGTAACTGCTCACTGAGCTTGTGAACTAATGTTTAATGGCTTGTCATATTTTTGAGATGTATTAACTCTTTTATTTTCCCAAAGACTAGGGCATAGGATACAAATTCCTATTTGAGGTTATTGTAGCTCAATTAAGAATATATACAAATAGCCAAGGCTTCAAATAAATACCCTTGACCCTGGGAAAGGGCCCAAAAGAACTATATGAAGCCTTCCAAAGTGTAACTGATACAACTGGTGGCTATGCAGATGGCGCATTTGGGCCTATATGAAATGAGACTGGGTCCTAAAATTCTCACAGTAAAGGAAGGCTAGACTTACCAAGCCACAGTGGCTGGCCATGTGAATTAAAGAGCAGTCGCTCACTTTCTCGTTGGCAGGCAGGAGCTGTATATATATCACTGCTGATTATTCGTTGTAGATGGCTATCCTGCCAATGTAATTCACGACCCTCAATGGCTCTAGTGAACACTGTTCTTCTTGGTCTGGATAATGAGTCTGGGGAAAGAAAAATATGCAGCAGTACAATGTTGGGTAAATGGGTCTTAAATGTGGGGCTGAAAAAATAGTATGAGGGCAATGAAAATAAACACTGCTATCTGTTGGAGTATTGTGTTGCCTCCTTCTTGGGTAAGTTTTTAGTATATCTGTGTCCTCTATGAGAAGAACTTTTTATCAGAGACCTATGGTTCCCTTTTTCTTCCACAGAAGACCAATTTCTACTGGGACTCAAAAACATATGAAGAGAGGCAGCCATGCTCAGCTGATAAATCATGACAGAAATTGCTTCTACAGAAGCCAGACACAGAAATAATCAGCTAGATAACTTCCCTGGCTAATTCATAATTTCTTTCATTTGCAACGTGACTGTCATCAGACTAAATCTTCTATGAAATTTATATTAAAAAGTAAAAAGGAGCTGAAGCCCAGTACATGCTGATACCTTTATTATACTGGTAACTGCAGATTTGTTGTGGGTTTAAATATTCTCCCAAAACCTCATGCAGTTTTATTTTATTTTATTTATTTTTATTTTTTTTGGTGGAACCGGGGATTGAACTCAGGTCCTTGCGCTTGCTAGGTAAGCGCTTATTCCACTGAGCCATCTTCCCGGCCCCTCATGCAGTTTTAGATGGGCCTTTATTGGAGGCAGATGAATCTAGAATTTGTGCTTGATTTATAGTGTAATACTGGGATTAAGGGTGCTCAGATTAAGGGTGGGTGATTTTGGATCAGTCCACTGGTTGGACTGGCACCACCCTAATCCAAGCAGTCTAAGTAAAAGGGACAGAAAATAGCTTGTTTGGCCCTTTGTCTCTCATTGCTTTTGCTGTCTTCCTCTACCATGACCTGTTGCCTTTCTGCTATGTGCCACCCTCTCCTTAGAGCCAGCATATATGGACTACTGTGAACTAAATACACCTTTCCTCCTTTACCTTTGGGTGTTCTGTATTTTGTCTCAGCAATGAGAAAAGTAACTGAGACAGTTGTCTTGCTTCTAATAAGAAAAGATGATGCTGACAAAAGACTAACTTGTTTTTTCACTGGAATCTTACTATGCCTTCTCTCTTTAGAAAAAGGCCACAGGGAAACCAATGCTGCAGACAAAGTAAGTTCAGTTCTTAAGAGTGGTATGTAGGGGAAACAAATGGAAGCTATCTTGTCATAAACTATGGCCTTTGGGAGGTTCATGGAAATGACACTGAAAAAAATTAAAGCCTAAATGGGATCATTAAAGTGACATATTTCCATATTAAGGGTAGCTGAAACTATTTTTTGGTCAAGAATTAAACTACACAGAGAGATCCAAATTAGATGTGCATCTATACAAAAGTTACATTTCTTGTTATATAGGTCTTGTTTTATCTTGGTCTTAGCCATCCAGCAGAAAAGTATAAAAATGAGGTATAAAAAGTAAAGCCATATTAATATGCTTAGCTGTAAAAGGCTCAAGTCAACAACTTCTGACACTGCCAGTCCTATGGATAACTCACTACTATTATGGACTACTGGACTATATTGTAATATTTTGCTGAATTCATGCACCTACAATATTTAAATGCCGATGGAATACCCTTCTCTGACAAAACTAAACAAAAAAAAGGGGATACAAAGGAAGGACCATTTTGTATCTGTATATACAAAAGAGTGAGGATAGATATGCAGCTACTTTCTCTTAATTCAATGAGAAGAAAGATTCGTACTAAAAGTGTTTGGACAGGATATCATGTCTGCATCTTGTACTATGAATAACCATAATATGCAATGTATTAATTATTGAAACTGTCCTATTAATCGGTTTTGAAACTGTCTTATTGCTATGTTTCTCAATAAAATTAATAAAAATATGATTTAAAAAAGATGTGTATGTACTGATTCTGTGAAAAAAAATTATGAGGGAAAGCCAGAGAAGTCAGATTTGATATGAAAAAAGCTAAAATATTTATTCATGTAGGAAAAGTCCTTGGAATTTGCTCATGTCTTTACAAAGTGGGTAAGGATTCAGATGATCAAAGGATATTATCATTAGAGTAGCACCAAGGGTAATTACTGCTTCTGTTCACACTGCAGTTAAAGCACACTGACTTTTCTACTGGCTGCGGTTTAAATCCTTGTTATGCTAAACTGAGAATTTGTCATGGTTGTGTGCAGTTCACAGTGGAGACTGAGCTCTCTATGCTTTTTAAGAATTAAGTCAGAAAAATAGTATGTGCCAGATATGTAGCATGTACTATTCAAGGATCCAGAATGTATAAAGTTCTTGTCATAATAGACCTTTACTTCCAAAATATATAGCATATAAGATATTTCTTATGGTTCTAAGTGCTACAGAATAGACTCAAAGTTAGGAAGGAAGACAAGCTGATGTGAGGTGGGGCTATTGTGTTACATACAGAATGATCTCTATAAAAAAAACATTTGAAGAGTTACATGTGATGGTGTATCCTTGTAGTTTTAGCTTCTTGGGAGGCTGAGGATCACCTGAGCTCAGGAATGTGAAAACATATCTCAAAACAAAACAAAACAGACATTTGAGTAAAGATCTGCAAGAACTGAAAGGGAAGCCTTAGAGACAATTGAGATAATAGCATTCTAGGTAAAATGAATAGTAAATGCTAAGTTCTCATGTAGGAGAATGTATTTGTAGTGTTTGAGAACAGCAAAGAGGCCAGAATAGTAGGAATGAAATGACCTGGTACATAGAAGAATCTTAGTATTTCCTTTTTCCAAGGAAAATGATTTATATGGGACTTGGATTTTGTTTCTTCTGTCTGTCTGTCCATCTGTCCGTCTGTCCGTCTGTCCATCCATCCATCCATTTAGTGTAGGATCTCTCTACACAGCTTAGACTCATAGTGATTCTCCTGTTTCAGCTTCCCCAGTGCTGGGATTATAGGTGTCACCACCATGCCTATTTTTGGTGGCTGGCACAGCATGCCCAGGGTTCCAGGGACAGTACAGCATGTAGTACTAGGGACTGAACATGGATCTTTGCACTTGCCAGGCAGGTGCTTAAAATGCCAAGCTATCTCCCCATCCCCTGGGACTTGGATTTGGAAACTGATGATAAATTTGTGATGCTTTAAAACTATCACTTTCTTCAATTTTCTGTTACTATAGCAAAGTAACATTCTATATAATCAATGGACATTTTTTCTTTGACTATATCCCCCTCCTTTTCAAGGAAACAAGTTTCTTTTCAAAGTTGGCTATGTGGCTGTGCCATACAATTTTTCAATTCAAGTTATCAATAAGTATGGATTCATGCTTTTTAATTTAAATATCCTTTGAGATGGAGCTGCTTTCATGGATGGAAGTTCATTTAGATTTTTTTTTTTTTTCTGTATTTTAGGGAAGGGTCTGCAGGGTGTTCAGGGTCTCACTACTAGATCAGATTCCTAGTGATTCTCCTGTTTACTGCCTCCCAAATGCTAGGATTACAGGCACACGCCACCATGCCCAGTCTCAATTGCCATCAGTGCCCCAGGGGCAGGGCTGGCACGGCAGGCCTGGGGATGAAATACCTGGCCCCTGCGATCTGCCTAATCAGGCACTTTAATCCACTCAGCAATTTGACTGGCCCTTTAGATACTATTTCTAAAGCCTCAAAATCAAAGAAAAAATTTTCGTTTTGTCTTTCTGAGGCAAGGCTTCACTATGCAGTTCAAGGTAGTCTTGAATTTATTTTGTAGCCCAGGCTTGCCTCAAACTTGCAGTGATCCTCCTGCTTCAGTCTTCTGAGTGCTGGGATTATAGCTGTGCACCATTATTCCTGGCAAAGAGGAATATTTTATTTTATTTTATTATTATTATTTTTTGGTGGAACTGTGGATTGAACTCGGGCCCTTGCACTTGCCAAGCAAGTGCTTATTCTACTGAGCCATCTCCCTGGCTTGGACACTTTTAAAAACTTGTTTTTGTAGGCTTTTGGACCTAAAATCAATCCAAACTGAGGTCAAAAGAGTCTGGAAGATAGAAAAGAATCATTCAGAAGGCTCTAAGACTTTATTTTGAATACTATATAGCCACTCCAGATATGGAAGTGGACAGCATCCCTAATGTCAAAGACAAAAGCTTGTCTTTAAGATTTACTATTTTAAGATGAATAAAGATGCACGGTTTTCTTACTTAGGATGGCAATTTTGACAGCCAAAAGGCTTCCCATCCACTACTGCTTAGGGCTTTACCCTCTTACCATTTGAAGTACTAGGCACAAAGAGCCTAAAAAAGATACTTGCTCACCTGCACTGTGACTGACATTCTGGGGAAGGGCATTGGTGATGTTGGGCAGCTCATGGCCATAATTCCCATCTTCCAGGGGACAGACATCCAGGTCACTCCACTTCTGCAGTTGCTGCAGCCAACAAGACTTTTCTTCCAGTTTGCAGTGTGGATTTAAAATTATGCACACCCATAAAGCGCCTACAAAATAAAGTAATCCACATTTTTATATCTCTACTTTGACATATGTGTAAATCTTAATGTTTCAGTTTTATTTTGAGGTGGTAAAGTTTTTGTTACAGTAGGAGCTGGGGATATAGTGCAATGATATAGTGCATATGTACAATGCATAAGCCCTGAGTTCAATCCAAGCACCTAAAAACAAAGCATAAGCTTTTCTCAATATAAAAAAATTGCTAAGATTTCCAGAAGTGGCCTACTTTTCCATTCTAAGGCTTTCTTAAAGCAGGGTGACTATCTTGTTATCTGGATCTACGTGCCTGTGATGAGGTACAAGACAGATTTAGATTGAGAATACTGAGCTCAAATTTGCAGTTTAATGAATACTTATTGAGAGCTTTCTACTCACCCACACCCTGTGCTGGTGAAGAAGAAACTGTTTCTACTCTTAAGGAAACTGTTTCTGTCTTGTGGGGAGGCAGACAGATAAAAGTCCTTTGAAAATAATGTGCTGAACAAAGATTATGTTCAGAGTATAATAACGCAGAGGAAAGACATTTTGTATGAAGACAGGACTGGAAGGAAAGTACTCAAGAAAGTGTCATGATACAGTAGGAGCTGGGGATATAGTGCAATGATACAGTGCATATGTATAATGCATAAGCCCTGAGTTCAATCTGAGCACCTAAAAACAAATTATAAGCTTTTCTCAATATAAAACATTGCTGGGGCTGGTGAGATGGCTCAGTGGTCTAAAGCACCTACTTAGAACAAGCTTAGCAAAGCACAGGGACCACGGTTCAATCCCCCAGCACCACATGCCAG